TTTATCCACTAAAAGCTACTGACTCATCGATAAATAATCCTGTCTTAATTACGCGCTAAAAAGTAACGGAATGAACGTGCATTTTAATAGCACGTTGTTACATCATGACTAATCACTTGCAGCCTTAATCCTTTCTCCGCTGCAAGAATATTCTAAAGATGTATCGGATTGATTGTTCACGATTGAGCTTGGCTTGAGATAAGTAACTATTTAATTTCCCTCGGACCTTACTATCCTTGTCTAAGTGATCCTGTCTTACATACACTGCCGTTATATTTTTACTTTTGCGACACGTCGCGATTCGCCCGTGAAGGCGGAATTAAGCAACAAAAATCGTGGATTTCCAGCGAAATCGTACGTTGCGTTTTCCTGTCGCGATCGCGCAATTCGCCGCCTTTCAAAATTAATCGGAGCCTCTCGGGAACGACGCGCCCGAAGAGGAGGAAGAGCTTTCAAATTTCTTTCGCAAGGAATCTTGGCGCAAGAGTCGCGGCGCCGCCCGAGCGCGTTTATTATATACGTTTATTATATACCGGGCCCGTAATTAGTTACGGCCGAAGATTCCGGCCAATTATGTTGACTCGCGATATCCAGAGCGCAAATTATTTTTACACGTTCTGCATTCTCTCGCGGTATCGCGTTACGCGCGAATTCATCGCGTTCGACGCGTGCGCGCGAACAATGCGAGGTGAGAGTTTCCCGTATACGGCGATCAGCTGATATATATGTATCGTGATGTCCTAGTACCGTCTCCGAACGAGAAAGATATCGGTTTCCCAGCGAATTCGGATCTTTCTCGGCTGAAATTGATGGATGATTATCGCCTCTCACGATCTGAAGGGAGATCTTATTTAGGAGAGTCGAAAATTTATTTCCATTTTTTATCTTCAATTTTCTCACATTTATAGAGTCTAAAAGATTTCGATTTAAGGATGTTTTGTACCTATTTTCCAAATATTGAAGAGAATTTAATGAAAATTGTACAGAATATCCTTACATATGTTTAGAATCTTCAGTACAATTTTTAAATCGATTCACTGAAGCGTTCATAAGTTATAAGGATTTTAATTTGACTGAATTAACATGTGTTCTTATGGGAAACGTCGATTCAAATGACAAAAACACACGGAAATAATGTTCAGAATTTGTTTAAAATTTGCAAAAGTTTTTAGCACAGGAAATATTTGGTCAAATAATATTATACAAGTACTAACTGGTTAAAAAGATATTAAATATAATTTAATGAAGTTAGTCATGTATCTGTCACAAGGCGAAATTCTCTGCTAAAAGTTAATCATTTCGATTAACAAAATTCGGAATATTTCAGTAAAAACGCAATAAATATTAAAAAATACATCTCTGCACTGTAGCTAAAATCAAATTGTTGTAATATTCCACACAATTTCTCATACTCAAAATACACCAAAAGTGGATATTCGTCAATATTGATTTTCAGCTATTTTTTGCTAGGATTGTATATACAAAACATCCTTCATTTCATAGGTTTGTTTTTTTTTTTTTTTTTTTAATCATGTATCTCTCTCTTCTCAAATAAACGGTAAACATTTTCCTATCTATTATTGTTAAGAGTTTTCGAAAACTATAAGTTAAAAGTTCTAAAAAGAATCTGAATAAAATAATCAAAATAAACTAGACTGAAAATTGAAATTTAAAATAGGAGAAAATTTCGACTCTCTTAGGGATTGTCAAGTTTTTTAATATTAATTAATTTTTTTAATATTATTCTTAATATTAAGTATCTGGATATATACTGAGTGTAAAATTATAATCTAACATAAAAATATAGATACAAAGGAGATTACATTTATGTAGATATATGCGTGCAGATACCTTCATCGCTCTTATTCTGATTTCATCCCGCGCGCAATGACTGTCGACTTTATGCCCTGAATGCTATGCGGTCCGCGATTTTCTAGGATGATCCGTATCGTCTGTTGAAAAAACGGACACGGTCAAATCGTCGAGCTAATTGACTGGCGCTTTCGTATTCGCGCGTTCACGAGAGCGCGAACTGTTTTGCATCCGCGAAAACGCGTTGGCCGTAAAACTCGGTACAACTTAAACTCACGCTCTTAGTTGGCGCGTAAACATGAAACATACATGTTCGACTGTCCAAGAATGTAACGGCATATAAATATTAGTAAGTATCAATCCGCGCGAAGAAATCAAAGTTTACTTAGGCGAATAAAAACGAAAGTTTATTACGTGGCGATTGTGAGGCACACTCGTGAAATAAACTGCATTACGCGTTCGCAGGAAATCCCGGCGATGTGAGGTGACACGAGAAATGTCAGTTTCAAGAATCAGAGAGAGCGAGAGAGATCGCGTCGCCGAAGCAAAAGGATCAGTGCTGGAAAAAGAGCGAGCGATCGGCCGGCAAATATCTTTGCGCGTGATTCGCGGCTATCTCATTACGTGTTATTATTGTTGCGACAGACGTCCGCGCCTGTTCGCGCACGGGGATTTCGCAAGAGCAACCTAACAGTCGCAAACTTTTATCCGCGCGAACGCGGCCTTGCCTTTTCGCATCGCCGTGCGTCGTTTGCGCCGCGTTCGCCGTGTGGGTGTCACTTGCTTTCCCGCCTTGAAAAACCTTTCACCGTTTTGCGCACCTACGTACACATGTACATACAGACGCGCAGTAGACGGGCCGCGTGCCGTTGCTATAAAGTCAGAGAAATCCTGGGGAGCGGTGTAACTCGTTTCGTATCGGAGCTTATGTTGGCGCGAGCGAGCGAATTCCTCCGTTCCGATCCGCGTCTCGTATCTACGGGGTGTCACGGAATCACCGGATGTGTCTTGCGATACGCGATTAAGGATGTTTTGTATGTACAATCTCAGCAAAAAGTAGCTGAAAATCAATATTGGCGAATATATCCACTTTTGGTATATTTTAAGAAAGTAAGAAATTGTGTGGAATATTACAATTTGATCTTAACTACAGTGCAGAGATGTATTTTTTAATATTTATTGCGTTATTTACTGAAATATTCCGAATTTTGTTAATCAAAATGATGATTTTTGCCAGAGAATTTCGTCCTGTGACAAATACATGGCTAATTTCATTGAATTATATTTAATATCTTTTTAACCAGTTAGTACTTGTATAATATTATTTGACCAAATATTTCCTCTGTATCTAAACTTTTGCAAATTTTAAACAAATTCTGAATATTATTTCCATATGTTTTTGTCATTTGAATCGACGTTTCCCATAAGAACACATGTTAATTCGGTGCAAATTAAAATTCTTATAACTTGTGAACGCTGTAATGAATCGATTTAAAAACTGAAGATTCTAAACATATATAAGGGCATTCTGTACAATTTTCATTAAATTTTCAATATGTTGAAAATAGGTACAAAACATCCTTAATTATACGAATTGCTTGAAACTGACACCAGCGAGTCGAGCGTTCTCTGGGATATCTCGTGTGACGACACGAGAGAGTTGCATATATCGATAAAGTTGTCGTAGCCTTATTTGCGATAGAGAAAAGAAAAGAGAAAAGAGTCTTAATTAACATTCGGGATTGACTAAAATGGCACGACTAAAGTGTCATGATAAAGTGCAATCCTCCACCCCTAACGTTCTTCGATAACATCTTCAAAGTTGTCGACTTGACAAAGTGCAAAAGTTTCGCACTGTATTCACTCCTTTTCTCTATTCTTGGACAGAATCTTTAGAAAACGACAGGATTTGTCATTTTACTTTATCAAATACACCGAATAAGAGTCGCGTTTTTTTTTTAATCGTTAAACGCGTCTCTTGTGAATATTAATTACATTAACAACGAGGCTAGTCGAGACTATGCTAATTAGGAAATAATTACGCCAATGTTGTTGACTTGAAAGAGAAGATGCATTAAATGCCTTAAATTTTTTTGAAATAAATCCTTCTTTTTCCTTAATTCCGTAATTCTCGGTTTCTGTTTCCCCAGAGCTTCTTTTTAATAGGTTGCATTGATTATATATTATCGAGAAGCATGTCGGTATCATCGGTTTTTATTTATTGCATCAAAAATTACAGTTCTGTTTCATTAGTCATTTTTACATTTCATTAGCGCGACATGTACTGATGATATTTCCGCGAAAATTCTGTTATATTCATTTCGCTGTGTTGCAATTTCAGCAGCGTACAATTCGACTTTTCAAACTGTGTAATCGAATAACAACATTCAAGCATTATATACATTCGGTACGCTCTCCAATTCTGTACTTTTATTCACTCTCATTTACATTTAGTTTCGTAACATTTTAATCACCATGTGTGTATTTGCAATATATTTACATTTGCAAAATATTGAATCGAACGTAGTATATAAATTTTGAGTGTTAAGTAGATTAAAAACAAGTTTTCGATAAAAAAAAGTTTGTATCTTATTTACTTCTGATATAATAAAATATTCGAGGCTTACAATGTCTTGACTATTTAAACGTTAAATTGGAAATTTGTTTACAAATTTTATATTCGATTCCAATCTCTGTTCATATCAACATTAAGAGAAACCTTTGTCTAATCATACGTCTCTTTAATAACATGAATTATTTCTTGCTCAGAATTTCATTCGTATTTTCGAGAGAAAAATCTAATAAATCCATGTTTTATCTCGTTCATTGTTGTAAAAACTCGGCAAACTTTCATGAAAAACATTTAGACATCCCGGTAACTTGTCTCGGACACGCTGGCCACAAAACGACCTTCATCCTTCGCCGATCTCCCCCTGTGGAGCACAACTTGCGCGACTGGCCAGAGAGTTTCGACAGCTAACCTCGAGAATCGTCGCGTTCATTACGTGCCATCCATGATGAAATCCTCATGCCCCCACTTTCCCCGCTGTAATGTTGCCCTCCCCGTTCATTTCATCGGGCATTTTGATTTTTTCACGGACGCGCCACTGCTGTTGCTTCGTTTCATCGCAGCCATTTTTCTTTTGAGTTTGCTGTTCCCTACCCTCTGTTCCTACTTTCTGTTACAGATCTCGTACGAGATTTCATAGACGTCGCATACGGTGCATGAGAGAGAAAGAGAAAGAGAGAGACACTTTGTAGCGATGAGGATGTAGCCCGTGGCAGGGTGGCTTTTCGACGACAGAAAAAAAAAAGAGATAAAGAAAGAAAGAGAGAACACACGAGTCTCGAGTGAGGGCGATGATGACGCGTACGATACGGGGAAGAGGAATCGACCGAGGCAAGAGCAGGTTAGCCTAGAAGAAAAGGAGAAGAAGAGAGATCCTCTCTTCCGGATGTTATCGCCAAGACTGATAAAAACACTGCCAGGAGTAATGACGAGTTGAAATCGCTGTACCGTTTCTCCTTCGTCGATCTTAGTTCTCGCTTCTCGCTAACTGCCTCTCCACCTGCCCTGCCCCTTCGTACAAGCCTTACCCTCATCGTACACACACGTTCGTATTAATATTTATACACATCCGCCTCTTACGCGAGATCAAAGACTGAAAATAAAAGGTAGCAACATGTTGGGCGTGAGTCAGCCGGGCAATACGCCCTCGAGCTTGCGGCACTCGGCGAGCTTCTCGTGCTTGCAACGCGGCACCGCCGGCGAGGGTCATCGCGCGAGGACATCGACGCTGCAACAACCGAGTCTACAGCTCAACAACGGCGGTCATCATCAGTACGGTGGCCAGGCGGCGGCAACAACGCATTGCTCCCTGCTGCAGCATCATCGGCAGCAACAGCCCCGCGAATCGTTCGAGCCCGTCGTCCAAGACGGTAATGATTATGGTTTCGTGAAGCTCCGACCGCGACTGCGTAGCACAAACGCGACCTTATATCACGAAGAGGAAGTGGCGGCCGCGAAGAACGCTCTGAGGGAGCAGCGCGACGCTGCCGCGTTCAGCGATCGCGAATGTGACTCCAATTTCAGGGATTGCTCGCTAAAGGTCAAAGACCGCGACCTTTCGCCGAAAGGAACGGCCAAGAATCAGAATCCTCTGAGAGGTGCGCTGATTCTCTTCACTTCGACGTCGTCTTGGTGGAAGGCTCGACAACGAGAGGAACAATTTGCCGGAGAACGAGAGAAAACCGCTGGCAGCGGGGCCATCTCTATCGGCACATCATCGGTGCGCCACTGGTCCAATATCTCGATGGCATCGCCCTCGAACGAGAGAAAGTGGTCATCCTCGATGACGTCGCCCACGAACGAGCGGAAGTGGTCCGTGAGTAACAGTCTACTGACGTCACCGTCGAACGAGAGGAAATGGAACAGATCCTCGGTTTCGTCTACATCGACGAGCCAACAGGATCGGAAGTGGCGGTCCCTTGGCGCACTTTTAAGGACTCCCGCCAATACTGGCGGCGGTAGTTCCCATACTAACCAGAACTCCCTGTCGCACAACATGAGCGTGTCCATGATCGAGGGCGAGCATTTTCGCGAGGAATCGCGCGGTTCAAGCTGCAAGGGACGCTATCATCAGCCGACTTCCTACTCGGCGCGAGTCTCTCGAGTCAGTAGAGATGTCTATCGAGAGAACGGAGAATTTAGCCAGGCCGTCAGCAGATCGAAAGTTAGCCGTAGATTGTATCAAGATAACGACCCGACAATCGACCGAGATCTCGACGAGAGACACGTCGCGCCACATAGCCGACATCAACTGGATGATCTCGAACAGTGCAGGAACAATCGAGATGGTCGCGATTTCTGCAGAGCCACGGAACAGAGCGCTGTCGAGACTCGTACTATGATTTCCAACAGATCGAATCGCGCGCAGAGTTTTTATCTGCTGGATGATTTTCTACGACCGCAGCCGCAACAGCCGAGCAACAAGTGCACGACAAACGTATTTGTCTCCCCATCGTTGGCCATCAAATGCGGCCAACAAATGTCGTGTGGCATCGAGCACGGCAGGTTGTGCGAGGTCAGACAGGCGACCTGCCAGCAGACGAATGTCGGCAGCAACATCACGCCTCCGCGACGCCACAACTCGAGTTCAGACAGCCTCGAAGTGGCCGCGAGTCCGCTGCCACCACCGGTACCGCCGCCGCCGCCGCAGGCCACCGCTGGCAACGCGCGGAACGACCGCGAACGGAATGAGAACCCGAAGGACACGAGTAAGGATGTGTGCCCGTGCAAACTGTGCTGGACCAATATGCAGAGATCTCTCGTAGAAGAGGTAAGTGAGTTCTCCTCTCCCCCTGAGGGGCGCATCGCACAATAATTGAGTCGTTCGTCACACCGCGTACTCTCCATGCATGGAGATCCGCGGGAGATTCCGCTTGAGAAATGAGGCTATGATTAAGGGACTTTGACAAAGGATCGCACCGGCGGAGTCGCTCGATTCATGCACACGGACATACAAAGAATCTCTTCAAATACAATCTCGTATATATATATCTCGAATATATATATAAATTCTCACATTTATCAGTTTTAAACGACTTTTATAAATTTAATTGATGTACGAGTCAAGTTCCTTTTTTTGATATCTCGAATAGGCAGTAAATAACTAGTTTTTTTATTTAGAGATTTAAAAGAGAAGCTTTTAGTAAAATTATAGATTAAATAATTTCCTAAGGCAATGATTTAACTGTTTAAAATATCAAAGCAGAGAGTTAGATTAAAAATTGAAATCAAAAACGGAAGACAAAGTTCGCGAAATATTCTGAAGGAAATTGATATTACTGAAAAAAATCGAATAAGTGATGAAACGGCAATTATTAGTTTTAAACGACTTTTATCAATTTAATTGATGTACGAGTTAAGCTAATTTTTGATATCTCGAATAGGCAGTAAATAACTAGTTTTTTAATTTAGAGATTTAAAAGAGAAGCTTTTAGTAAAATTATAGATTAAATAATTTCCTAAAGCAGTGATTTAACTGTTTAAAATATCAAAGCAGAGAGTTAGATTAAAAATTGAAATCAAAAGCGAAAGACAAAATTCGCGAAATATTCTGAAGGAAATTGATATTACTGAAAAAAATTTAATAAGTGAAACGGCAATTATCAGTTTTATACGACTTTTATAAATTTAATTGATGTACGAGTCAAGTTCCTTTTTTTGATATTTCAAATAGGCAGTAAATAACTAGTTTTTTTATTTAGAGATTTAAAAGAGAAGCTTTTAGTAAAATTATAGATTAAATAATTTCCTAAGGCAATGATTTAACTGTTTAAAATATCAAAGCAGAGAGTTAGATTAAAAATTGAAATCAAAAGCGGAAGACAAAATTCGCGAAATATTCTGAAGGAAATTGATATTACTGAAAAAAATTGAATAAGTGAAACGGCAATTATCAGTTTTATACGACTTTTATAAATTTAATTGATGTACGAGTCAAGTTCCTTTTTTTGATATCTCGAATAGGCAGTAAATAACTAGTTTTTTTATTTAAAGATTTAAAAGAGAAGCTTTTAGTAAAATTATAGATTAAATAATTCCTAAAGCAATGATTTAACTGTTTAAAATATCAAAGCAGAGAGTTAGATTAAAAATTGAAATCAAAAGCGGAAGACAAAATTCGCGAAATATTCTGAAGGAAATTGATATTACTGAAAAAAATTGAATAAGTGAAACGGCAATTATCAGTTTTATACGACTTTTATAAATTTAATTGATGTACGAGTCAAGTTCCTTTTTTTGATATTTCAAATAGGCAGTAAATAACTAGTTTTTTTATTTAGAGATTTAAAAGAGAAGCTTTTAGTAAAATTATAGATTAAATAATTTCCTAAGGCAATGATTTAACTGTTTAAAATATCAAAGCAGAGAGTTAGATTAAAAATTGAAATCAAAAGCGGAAGACAAAATTCGCGAAATATTCTGAAGGAAATTGATATTACTGAAAAAAATTGAATAAGTGAAACGGCAATTATCAGTTTTATACGACTTTTATAAATTTAATTGATGTACGAGTCAAGTTCCTTTTTTTGATATCTCGAATAGGCAGTAAATAACTAGTTTTTTTATTTAGAGATTTAAAAGAGAAGCTTTTAGTAAAATTATAGATTAAATAATTCCTAAAGCAATGATTTAACTGTTTAAAATATCAAAGCAGAGAGTTAGATTAAAAATTGAAATCAAAAACGGAAGACAAAATTCGCGAAATATTCTGAACGAAATTGACATTACTGAAAAAAATCGAATAAGTGAAACGGCAATTATCAGTTTTATACGACTTTTATAAATTTAATTAATGTACGAGTCAAGTTCCTTTTTTTGATATTTCAAATAGGCAGTAAATAACTAATTTTTTTATTTAGAGATTTAAAAGAAAAGCTTTTAGTAAAATTATAGATTAAATAATTTCCTAAAACAGTGATTTAACTGTTTAAAATATCAAAGCGAAGAATTAGATTAAAAATTGAAATCAAAAGTGGAAGACAAAATTCGCGAAATATTCTGAAGGAAATTAATATTACTGAAAAAAGTCGAATAAGTGAAACTACAATTTATCAGTTTTAAACGACTTTTATAAATTTGATCGATGTACTAGTTAAGCTCCTTTTTTCGATATTTCGAATAGGCAGTAAATAACTAGTTTTTTTATTTAGAGATAAGCTTTTAGTAAAATTATAGATTAAATAATTTCCTAAAACATGATTTAACTGTTTAAAATATCAAAGCGGAGAGTTAGATTAAAAATTGAAATCAAAAGTGGAAGATAAAATTTGCGAAATATTCTGAAGGAAATTGATATTACTGAAAAAAATAGAATAAGTGAAACGGCAATTCGCGCGAATAGAATTATTAGTTGGCTCGTGTGGTTTTATCGTAATCGTTATTCGCGATGTTTATTCCGCGGTGAGCAACTTTCACCCCGACGTGCGCCACGATTCCGTGATCGTGACAAGTTAAACACCGCGAAAAAGTCTTTGCGGCGGATCGCCGGAAAAGTTGGATGTAGAGAGAGAGAAGGATCGACTGTCCGGTTGGCCTGTCGACATTTCTCCGCCGACGACTCGTCATTAACTCGCCTTTAACTCGTTCCACGTTGATCTCCGTGTCGTAACAAACGATCCTAACGCTTCTGTTAGGATTCCGCTTTATTGCCGTTTGTGCGATTGATAGTATACGATTCGATGGATAATGACGACGACAGATTCTCGGCTTCGTGGAAGTGACCGTGATTACCTCGGAGTCGACTGGAAAAAGACGAGCAACACATAGAGGTTTAATACCGAGCAGCGGGTTTGTAAAATAGCGTCTTATTCGTCTTGTGTAAATTAATTTTCATGGCAAGATTCATAACATGGCTTTCATCCCATGTATGTGTAATTTATTACGCTGCGAATGTGACAAGCTGTGCTATATATCAGCTGCAGAGTTTTTTGAAAATTTTTTCAAACTTATTATTTTAAAGCCTGGTCGAAAGCCATTCTTATTCAATCTGCACATATTACAGATATTAAAACTTTGATCGAGACAACATCGAGATTTAGGAATTTACAAAATCTAACCTCGCGATATAAATTCGATCGAACTTTTTATCTCGCGTGAAAGGCAATTACATTGATCAACGATCGCTGGATAAGAATCCGCATCGCGCATATTATGCGGTGACAGGTGGAATGGATGTAGAAACGGCGCTCGCGTTTATCCTCGATACGATCACGTGTGATTAATGCGAATAATCGGGAGCGTTTCGATCATAATACACGTCATGCGGCAAAAAATAGAGAGAAGGAATTAAAATAATAGTGCTACGAACTAGATCGCCGTGCGATATACATTACCGCAATTCTACGAGGTTGCAATTCTGTTATGTTTCTAGTTTAATTGAGCTCGATGGTGCGAAAATGCGAGTGTGCTATTCTGAAACATGCGATGTCATATATCCTGTTTAGTTTCAACAGCGAATATATATATGCATATTCACTTCTGCACATTTTTACATGCGTAAATTTTATAGTAATCGATAGTGAAGTATCTCTTAGAAATAAAATTGTAATCGTCTGCAGATTTATAGATTTAATATCGATCCTTTGACCAGCTCGGATAGAGAAAATCGAATGGATGTAATTTTACGATAAAACTACGTAATTATTGTTAGAAAAATAAGTAAGAGGAAAATTGCACGGTTAAATAGCGCATAAATTTAAGTAGCCTGTTGATAGCAAGATGGAAAATAATTTAACGTTAAACTTGTTAAATACATCACACGAGAGGATGCATGATTTAAGCATGATGTAATGTTCTTCTTGTAATTCTTCCTTGAAAATACGCTCGTAAATATACGCATCGTAAATTAAACACGAGATTCCGATCTATTAAATTCAATCTTCAAGCCGAATCGGTCGCGATCTGCCCGAATACGCGCACAAATCAGCTGATTTATGGCCGTGAATTAGAAGCACGTGCTTGTCGCGCGGTATCTACTATTTGAATTGAACAGCCTTTGTCTCGGTGCTTTTCCCTCCCCCGCCGATGAATCGAATATGCGTCCGTTATTTTTGGAGCATGGCACTCTGAAGGAAAGGAAGTCGTATTTCTATCCTTGTACTATCTGCTCTATTATTAGAGGATACGCAGTTGGTGGATAGAATTTTGGCCGGGTTTCCGTTCGTTTTGAAACCAAAGCAGCGCCTCCAGGCTCTCATCATTTCCCTCCTCTTATCGTACATTTTCAGAACGCGTGCCAACACGTTCTCCGCCCGATAGTTTCATTCGGGATGTAAATACGGCGGTTGGTATCCGCGCAGATATTCGCGGCCGTGCATCCGTTCGTGCTGTATCAACTTATCCCTGCATTAAGCGCTTAAATATGTAACCCGTTCATCAGCGTTGCCGCAACGTTTCTGAATATCAATGAATTCGCGGGTTTCGAGGAAATAAATTAATTGTGCCGGAAGGAAAGCCAAATATAATTTCCGGCCCGCGAATCGAACGTGTCTGCAATGATACCCCGAATTACAAGTCATCAAGTTAATATATCTGTATAAACTTACCTCGGTAGTTTTCTTGCTCTTTATTTTTGCAATTTTGCAAAAAAAAAAGAAAATTTTAAATCCTACTCTCTAAAAGTGAATCAGCGATATTATCAAAAAAATAGTAAATAGTCACTGATTACAGCAGTTATAAGCACTGTAAATCAGTGATATTTTATTGAAAGAATCAGTTAATAATTTTAACTGTTTCAGTGTAATATTTCTCAATATCAGTAATATTTCTTTC